CCAGGATGAATGAGAACAAACCAAATTTAAGGTGTTCTAGTCTTTATTTTTGCCTGGACATTTTACTTCTAGGCATCTGTTTTAAATACACTGAACTGTTACAGAGATGAAGCCCCAGCCTCTCTCCAGCCCCAATTCCTCATGAGATGGAGAGTACACTGACTTCCTTAATTGGGATAAGTAATATTGCAATAATTTTAATTTTGTATTATGTATTCTGTGTGACAGAAGTTGTCTTAATTGAAAGTATTAGCTAGAATTCCCTTCTCTGTTACTCATATTCAAGACCAGGACAATCCAGCCTAAGGAGATGCCTTAAATACATACCTCATCTCTAGAACATTCCATATGTTATCATCATTTAAAATCCCTTGGGAGTAGATATCAAATAATGCTAGTGTACCAAAATAGAGGTGACTTCCAGACAATAGTGAGGTTATGGACATGCAAACCATTGGCCTGTACTTCTCATCCATGACACATAAACCTCCACAAACTGCTTCCTGTAACATTTACTCCCAAAAAATCATGGTATCAGAAATGGTGTTAAAACATTCCCTTCTGAAGCAGCCTCAGCCAAAAAAACAGACACACATTTTGCTATTTTCAATCTTTATTTCATGAATAATTAAGAAGAAAACATGGCAACATTGGCAAATTGAAGGCATACATACTAAATATTCATACAGAATACATTATGAAGAAACTAAATGCCCAGATCTTTAGTGGTCCTTGCAAACTAAAAGCATATTGGTCCTCCAAAAGGTTTAGCTTAAAATACTCTTGCTGACCTTTTAAGTTCCAATAACAGCTTGTGCCTTTCAAGCCAGAAACAGGGTGAAATACAATTTGAACACACTTCAATTTTCCTCAGAACTGTATTCCTAAGATCTAATCAGAAACATACAAAATATTTTTTTCTTCCTTACCTTTTAAATGTATAAGCTGTTACACCATTGTAAGTATTCAAGACTCAAGCACTTCTTGAAAGATGTTCAGTATTATTAAGAACCTGCATAGGTACATACATATACACAAATGTATTTGCACGTGTGTGTATATGTGTACATACATACATTTATGTAAAACCTCTACACATATCTCAAATGTCTATGTATGTGAACGTGTACATAACCTATTTGACAGGGTTCTGAAGAAGAAGAAAGTGCTTCTTGTCTAGAAGGAGGATTATTAAACCCATGTACGTGTTTGGTCAGTCTAATATTTGCGTTTCAAATGAGTATAAAACCAATCAAATCAGAAAAGCTGGATGGAAGAGAAGAGCTTATAAGAATCATTGCGTTTTACATCATCTTTAAAGGCCATGGAAAAAGAGCTTTAGATTAGTTATTTAGGAGATGTAAGTACTGGCTGCAGTGTCATTTCAAACAAGGTTAGTCCTTAACTGATGTAGTGCTGAGAAGTTAAGACTGAAACATCAACAACATTCTGTTCTTTCACCAAGTCCAAAATTCACCACACTGTTCTGTCAATTCTGCCTCACCTGAACTCAAAGTACCCCCACATCCAACAGCTAGAGGGTACCAATTAATGCCCTTCTGACTTTGACCTGGAGAGTTGTCCAACATTAAATGGGATCACTACTTTAATTCATGGACATTGAACAACTCTTGATCATCACTGACCTAAAGTGAACGGACAGTCTGGAAGCTAACTATTCTGTGTTACATTTCATAGTGTTATACTTTCTTTCCATTAGATAACATACAGAAAAAACATTTCTGTTAAAAAAACCCTTCAGATAAGTATAAAAGTGCTACTGAAAAATAGTAAAAATGACTCTACTATACATTAAAAACTAAAGTTTCTAACTGAAATGTTGTAAGTTATGAGGATTAATTACTTGAGTATGTTATGTCTACTTGTGCTCTCCCTACTGAGCAGATTCCCAAGTAATCAACCCAGCTGCACATATGCAATAATTGGAAACCAGTAAAAGCCTCCAGAGAAACTTCCACAATGGAACACAACAGAAGAGCTTCTTTCTCTCCATTAACTGAAAAAGTTTAGAAAAAATAAAAATCAGCTATTCAATTATTGCAAATGCAGTCTACTGTCAAAACAGGTCAGTTCATGAACTGTGGAACCAGGACTGCCAATGGCTCCTCTGCAGCAGGAAATGTCCACTGGGCTTTTTAACTACCATATAAATACACTGCTCACATGCTAAAATAATACAGATACTTACTAGAATGAAAATGCACGTAATACACTGCTATGTTGGGGCAGAGTAAGTTTTAAACCTAAAGTTCCCCAAACAACTTGTTTGTATTCTAGAACTCTATGCAAAATACAAAAGCCTTAGAAAAGTGCAACAAAACTAACTTCACGACATTTTTCCTTTAGTTTACATAAATACAATCTCATAAAAATATTATTAAACAGAAGCATACTTCTCAGTGGAGAATGAATGTGCCACATTTCAGCTTTGAGTAAGTGATTTTGGCTAAACTGAAACTCCCTGAAAATAGGGAATTAAAATGAAACAAGCTTAATCACATCAGACTGCCATAATTCTGCAAGAAGTTCCCTCTCCCAGTCTACATCCACAGTTCCTACTGGAACTGGTAAGAACTATCTGTAACTCTGGTAGACAGTGGCCAAAGGGTAAGGAATATTCCAAGCAAAAGATATATGTCAATGGGAATGAAATCATCTCATATTCATAGCTACTACTGAAGTCTCAGCGTGAGGAAGCAAGCCTACTATCACAGAACGAACTCATGGATGGAGTTCATGTGGATGGAGGCCATAGACTTGCCAAACAGAATTCAAGTGAATGGTAGACCAAAAACTGGCAAGCACAGATACATAAGGAAAAACAGAAATTCTCAGCAATGCTAACAAAAATCAGAGGCGTACAGAACTCCATCTTAACAGTTATTTAGTATCGATTATCAAAAGCATACTTGCAACATATTCCAGATACTTAACATAATGGCTTTGACAATTACCAAGCAAAATTATACTGATTATACAGGAAAACCTTGCACAAATAAAGGCTCAGCAAGCCAATGAGTCACTCAAAGCCCATCCAGTCACACTTCTTCGAGGGCAGAAACACTCCTAAGAGATGTTCTTTCTAAACAGAGATGGCTAAATGCATTAAGAGATCTCTGTGAACGTATATCTAAGGAGCTGGTAATTTTGCAGCAAGAAGACCTGATGGACACTGTAGGGTGATGGAGATAATATGGTTGAAAAGGAAGTCAAGGAAGAGTTAAGCAGTTCTAAGGTATTTTTCCAACTAACACACGCTAACCTGGGAAAGCACAACAGCATGTCTAGAACTTGTAAATGACTACTTTGTTTTAAGAGCATGTCCCACCAAATCTTTATTGGATGGGCTAATATTATTGACTATTCATGCACTAATGCTAACCTAAGAAAGGAACTGCAGAAACAGCTTGGCAGAATGTAAAAATAACAGAGAAAAATATTCACCGAGTCAAGGGAAGGACCACGAATAAACTATATAGTTAAATCAGCCTGTACACTAGTGCTATTATTTCAAAAATCTTCTTCAGTTGGCCAATTCAGCAGGAGTATTTCTTACAATAGGCAAAAAATGGTGTCAAGGTGTACAACTGGCTTCCTTCCCAGAAGGATTCTGCCCTCTAATTGCTCCTGCTCAAGGCAGCCTGCAGCTCGGCTGTTTCTGGTGGTTGTAATAGGCAAATAAGAGGTAAAGTCACCACGTGAGTCATATAAACACAATTTTAAAGGCTCAACTTTAGCCTGTGCATGACTTCTTGTCAGCCATCCAGGAGAGGCAGCTTTTGAAGAGACTGCCACATATCAGCATTCACAAGCAGAACAAAGTAAGAAGTTCTCCGTATCTCCAACTTCCCAAATAAACTTGTTTGAATCTAGGCTATAAGAAAATCTGTACCCAGGTCAAAACTGTACAGAAATTGATAGAATTGAGTAAAAATCATTTTTTTTTGTCATGGAAAAGAAGCAACAGAGCCCAAATGGTCAGTTTTCAACTTTCTGAAGAGCTGAATGAGGGAAATGAAAAAAAAAAACAGAGAATTTAACACTGAGATCATTAACAGAGGGGAGACACCAAGGAGAATTTTTTGTCACAGCTACAAATTTAAGGCAGATTATCAGCAGTTTAAACCACTGTGTTGTGCGCATCGTCAGAGCAAATGCATTTCTACTTATGCAGGTAAAACCAGAGGCTGAATGCAGCCAGCAGCATTTATAGCAGATCACATCCATACATCAAAGCTGAGTTCACTGTGCCCTTGGAAACAAAAAGCATGAGAATGGACATCTCCAAAACACAAGAACAGTGGAAATACTTCACAAAATTAGACCAATTATGAGAAACTTGAGGAACACATTTTATACGAGAGAAAAATAATTCTATTTAAATCTTGATACACTGTAAATAAATGCTACCTTGTGGATAGCCTATCCACCAACATCATTTTAAAAGGGAACCTTTCGTGCACAACTTTTCGGAAGCATGAGGATGAGAGGTCTTTGTGAGGGTCAGAGATCCATTCACAACACCAGGGCTATGGAATTAGTGTTTCCATATAAGTATACAAGACAACAAAATGAATCAAACCAACTGAAAACCAACACAAGTGTAATTCATTCTGAAGTCACCTCAATTCTGTTATTGTCAGATACCGGGTCAAAACTGACAGAATTCTCCTTAATGACCAACATTTATCTTCTCATCCTTTCTTTTTGGTAAAGAAAACCCCACAGTTCAATGCTTACGATTATCATGATGACAATCAGCCAATCCTAAGACACATCTGAGTCTAAACTGACATCTCTGTGGTCTACGAAAGCATTTCAGGAAACAGGATCATATAGCATATCTGCATCAGTATTTTTGTCAGGTCCCTTCTGCCCACAGCTGGCAATGACTAACCCTGATATACTACAGCACAGGCATTTGCAAGGCACATATTAAATTGTAGTAATATAAACGGATAAAATATTTGTCTTTTTTCTTTTTTTTTTTTTTTTTTAAAGCACATTCAATAATATTTTCTGGGGTGATTAAAAAAAAGAGGGAATTAAATCAGCAGAAACCTCGCTTCATATGTAAGAAATAACAGGCAGTTTCAGGATTAAGTGCGAACAGGAACCAAGTAGGACATTATCATCCACGTCCAGAAGGGCTACAGCTATTCTTTCATTTGAAAAATTAAATGCTGCTTGAACCTTTGCAGAAAACACGTGGCAGAGTGCAGCAGGGTATTATGTTTGTTTTTTATCTGTCATTGCTTCATTGCTTTCCTTCATTGCTTTCACGTGGACAGCTGTATGGCATCTTATTTGTAAAGGCTCAGATGTATGATTATAAAAAAATCTCTTTATGGTGCCCAGTATTCCTTTCTAGATAGAGTTTTATCAGCCAGACCACACCATGAAGTTTACGGAGCACTGAAGTTCAAAATAAGATCCTTTCTGTAGTGGCTCATAACTTGTCTCTCTGAAGACCAGCAGCTCATCTTTTCAAAAGAAGGTATCAGAAAAACATGATTTCCTCTTCTTACTACCACGTGTTATTTAGTTAAGGGCCATCACACAAGAAATCAGTGTAAAAACACAACAGCTCATGACTGAATTTAGACCAAGAAACGCTGTCCTTTTCATTGGAAAAATACTTTCTTTATATATAAAGCAACGAATAAGACAATCACAGATAAGGATGTCTATTCAAAGCAAGAGTACAGATTTATAAGCATGAATGTGCCTAAGTTGGAGTCTAGTAAGAGATGGAACATAAGCCAGCAGTAACATGTATTTCCAATAGGACTGCTCCTGTTGAGACTTATTTGAAGAAGCAAAGTAAATAAAAATAATGGAAGGAATATACAGGAAAGGAAACTGTATTTCAGACTTTTATTAAAATTTGTTAATGATTTTTTTTTTTTTCCATTTGAAGCCTCTCTTGCAACAACTGCCTTTAGAGTATGCTGGCTTTTCAAATGCACCGACTGTTCAACTGAGGGTATCTAGCTACTTTTAGGGATATGCAGGCTAAAGAATTATAAGGATGCACGAGACACTGCTGCTTTGAAAACTTCTCCAAAGCCCCTCTAAGAAGTTGTTTTGCAACATTTCATATACTCTTACAGGCACATTTATAACGTATTCTATTACAGACGTGTCATTGTAAGCATTTTAAGTAGTAATTTTCTATAATGCTAGCTGCTGGAAACATACTGAATTATTACTCCTCACATGGGCTATGTTCTTCAGATGAGAGCTTTTTAGATTTGGCAATAAGTCTGAGTTAAATCTGTGCTTTTGTACCATGATGAAGTTTCACAGATGCCAAGTGGAGTTGCATTCACTGGGTTAACATCCATGACATTCAAACAGTCCTTAACAGTCGTAAGAGCACCATAGGAATAGAAGATTCGTTTTCTTTATAACAGGGTTACTGTGTTGAAAGAGCATGTGCTTATAAATAGCAGTTGTTACAGAACTCACTTCTAAAGTAGGCTTCTGCTTAATATTAATGAGAGATGTTCAACTGTGGCTTAACTGCTAGAAAACATTCTGAAAAATAAGAGGCAGAAGCAATGGCAGAGTGAAGTATTCCCTTGATTTGACAAACCAGATTACAACAAACATTTTAACAGCTTATAACAAATGGATGGATTAAATCATTCTGAGCCATTAACATTCTGCACAAAGCCCTGAAGTGCCAGGATGTATCAATCAATGATAGCTAAGGCACTTACTTGAACTCTTTTGCCCAAGAGCTGTTACATGAATTCAGGTGCATTTTAGGAAAACAAAAGCTGAGCAAACCAAAGTTTCTCGGTTAATTCCTTGTGAGAGCAAGTCTTTTCCATGCAATATTTGAGTCTGCTGGGTATACACACATTGCATTAGTTCCTCCACTCTTGTCAGAGAACATCTCACCTTCTGTCACTCAGATGAGGATGTGCAACACCAATGAAAGACACACAGGAAACTGCAAAGGTAGATTTTTAGACAAATATCTTCATTATTACATCTTACTGAAAGTATCTTCTCTGCAGAGGAAATGCTGTCCCAGTTCCAAAACGCTACCACAGACATCCATGACGTTTCCTTGTATTGCTGTAAAGTAAAGCCTGGGGTAGCTGTGCATGCTATACAGGCATAGGAAGAAAAGGAGAAAGAACAAGCCGTACAAGGGTTGATTATTGATTCATTTCTGTTATAATGGAAGCACAGGGAGCTACTGACAGATTCCTTTCAGTACAGCATACCCTGAAAACCAGGAGCTGTATGTGCTAGTCTTTACAATCCATAAGATAAAGTTGGAAGCCACAACACTGTGACAGAGGTAGGCTTATAATGAAACTTTAGAAGGAAGAGTTCTTCTGTGCCAAATTCTCCGAGGTATCAAGACCACTTTTGCACTCAAGCTGTTGTGATGAAATAAAAGCTTGTTTTCCTAGAATATTGTGCACATTTTAAAGGAGTGAAAATAGCTATAAAGGCAGTAACTAAATTACCATCAGGAACTCTACTGTATTGGGGTACCATAGGCTGTGGGTGGAATATTTAGACTGTGGTATCAGGACACTACAGAAAGTTCAGTAATATGATGCCATGTTATCCTTTTCCTTCTCAAAGCATTAGCTGTACATTCAGTCTCCCATATGCTAGAGGATCCATTCATCTCACTCTCTTAGGTAAGAAAGCTTCAGGAAGTCTGGCTGGCAAGGTGGTAGATAAGCAGTCCAGGCTCTTTAGGCTACATAATTAATCTGAATAGCTTAATTACTTGGGTTATTCCAAGCAGTGGCAACAAGTTTTTGCTTTTTAACAGTTGATTGCAGGCTTAGTAGCTGAAGCAATCTGAAGCAATCCAGGATAGGGTCACCGAAGTTTGAAGGGACTCATTTGATGCCAGTTTTCAGTGAAATGGGGATTAGCATTTCAGCAAGATTTCCATCTGGTAGCTAATGTAGATTCTACTTCATGAATCTGTTGAATTATTAGGGTTTCAGGTTTCAAAGTATTTGTAAATTGCTGTAACATACAGCATGACATTCTGCCAGTCTGGACGTTCAGTTCGCACCATTTCATTGATGTCCTGTCACAGAAAACAGATTGGTCAAAATGAAGAACCATAGCCCTGTGAGGAACATGGCAGTATTTTTACAAAGTCATGGCAATGGTAAGCCTGTAAAGTTTCCATAATTTAAAGCATTGATGAAGAAAGCTTTGTTTTCCTCCATGCAACTTTACATTACTTGGAAATGTAAACAGCTATATGTATAGGATATATGTAGAATGTTATTTTGCTGATTTAAGATTGAAATAGTGCATACCTAAGTTGTCCCCCTTTTAGAACAATTAGTAGTGAAGATGTTACCATTCACCAGCCCCTTACACCAGTCTCACAAGCCAATGCAATCTGCCCAGGAACTAAGACAAAGAGTTACAGAATCAAGACCAAGATACTGACTGAACCTAAAGTTCTAAATTCTTATCACGATAAGAGTCAGTAAATGACAATCCCATTTCACAGTAGAATACTGACCTTGAGAATACTTTAATATATATTTTTAAGTGAAGAGGCAAGAAAGAGGGAAGTTTGCTTTGCCATCAGCTTGGGTATATGCAGGAGACAAAGCATCAGTGTGTGCCTAACCAGTAGGTCAGTTCACTCATTTCTTAACAAGTGTGCCAGATTGTCTATAGATAAGCTGAGCAAACACAGCCTGATCTGCCCTTTTCAGCATATGTACACAGGAATACAGTGAGACAGTTCCTAGACATTTTTGCTTAGTGTATGGATCTCTTTTATAATCTTCGGTTACAAGGATCTCAAAACTCAAAAAGATGAAGTTGTTTCTGTTTTGTTGTTGCTGTATTTATTTTGTTTGGTTGGTTTTGATTCTCCATATGAAAGCAGCTGAACACTTTCTTATTCTGGGAACAAAGAAGTCCCCCTTATAAACCTCTCCTTACATCACCGCTACTATTTAGTTATAGTGGTTTTCACATTCTTGCTCATTCTTCACCCATGGAAGAGGAGAAAAATAAAGAAACACTACACACCTGTGTACTGTTGGTATGTAAATAGATTTTAAATCCTTAAAATGGATACACTTTGCACACTGAAAATTTAGTTCTTTTCAATTTGTCTTTTCAGGTTGTCTGTAATTAAGTACATGGCAAAAATCAAAGGACAGACAGCACTCACTGAGACTAAAGCTAAAGTAAGTAAAGTAAAAAAGAATTACTGCAGTTCTTTTCCCACACTGTAGTTCTTATATCAGCACTTGGTAAGAAACTTCCAGGTTTCAAATCCCTGACAAAGCTTAAGTACTTATGTCCAGGAGTTGCACTGCCATTGTGAGCAAACACAATGCTGGTGTAAAGGCTCTGATAGTGATCAAGGAAAGTGTTATTTTTAAAATACCTGACTTTGCTGTGTTATTAGTTGCTAACTATGGCAGCCTTGTTTGAATTTAGATTACTCAAGTATCACTTGAGTATTGTTTCTGATACTGGCAACTTTACTTGAATTTCTGCAATTAATCACAAAGCCTTGGGATATTCTCAATTCCCTACCTTCAGGAGTCTTACTTTCACTGTAAATCCTATCATGTTGAAAGTTAATTCCTTTAAGCCACAATTTTTATAAGACACACAATAACCAGTAATTGGGGGAAAAAAAAAACCAAAAAAAACCCCACCTTCAATTATTTACAATGCTGACAAATTAAATCTAAATATAAAAGTCTTGACTTTTACATTTCAGTGAGCAAAACAACAACTTACATAGCTTGATGTGTACTTCTGAAATTCCAACAAAACCAAATAATTAGAAAGTAGAACAGAGACAGGAGACAGTTAATGGATCCTTGAAGGTAGTATCACAACTATTTCTCGAATTATTCTCAAAAAAAAAAATACACTGACTTTATTATTATTTCTTAAAATACTGGAAAAAAAATGAGTTTTAGTGAATCTTTCTTTTAGGAGTTTATCTCATAAAATCACTGGATATCCCGAGATGGAAGGGACCCCAAAGATTACTGGCTCTGCACAGTAGTGTCTATAAGTTAAACCCTATGTCTAAGAACATTACCCAAATGCTTCTTGAACTCTGACATCAGATTTGGCAGCCCTGTACTTGGCACCTCAAGCACTGTGTTCAGTTTTGGACCCCTCACTACAGGAAAGACACTGAGGTGATAGAGCATGTCCAGAGAAGGGCAACAAAGCTGTGAAGGTTCTGGAGAACAACTCTTATGGCGAGGAGCTGAGGGAACTGGGATGGTTCCATCTGGAGAAGAGGAGGCTCAGGGAAGACCTTATTGCTCTTAACTATCTGAAAAGAGGTTGTAGCAAGGAAAGGGTCGGTCTATTCTCCATGTAACAGTGATATGACAAGTGGTAACAGCCTAAAGTTGCACAAGGGAAGGTTCAGGTTGGATATTAGGAAGAATTTATTCCCTGAAAGAGTGGTGAAGTATTGGAACAGGTTGCCCAGGGAATTGCTGAAATCACCGTCCATGAAAGTGTTCAAGAAATAGACATGGCACTTATGGATATGGTTTAGTGGGAACAGTAGTGATAGGCTGACAGTTGTACAAGATGACATTAGTCTTTTCCAACCTTAATATTTTTATGATCATTCTTTGGTGAAGAATCTTTTCCTATTATCTAATCTGATCTTCCCCCAGTGCAGCTTCAGGTCATTCCCAATCTGCCACAGACTATTTTGCTGTTGCTTGTGGTACAGCAGCTTGAGTACAGGTCTTTATCCCACTTACTATTTTACTGCAAAAAACAGTATTAGTTTAAGTGGTTGATAATATTGGATTTATGCTAGATTGATAGAGATTAAATAAAACCACTGATGCATGTGCCTATCATTTATGAGTTTTTTTCAGTAAAATGTGATACTGAGACTATAGGCTCTAGCTGAGCTCATCTGCTGTTATTTCTGCTTCAAAATCTTTCAAAAGCACAAAGTGGAATAATTTATTTTTTACGAATGGGATGCAATTTGTTCAGTATGTGTTTAAAACTCACCAGAGTGGATTTGATGCCAACACTTTCAGCTGCCTGAAAAGCCAAAGTGAAGTTTCTCCTCTGCATGAGATATGAAAACATATCAGAATCCAAGTAAATACTACTTCATAATAAGATGGTGTTAAGAAAGTTTTACTGTAAACTGCTAATTTTCCTCAAAGTGAGTCTGTAATTGGACCATTTTAATTTTAAAAGGGCAACAGAAATGAACATGTCCTAATATCACACAAAAGATCTTACAGTATTAAGGTTTTAAAAAGAATAGCAATAGTGTAGTCTGAAATGTTTCAATTATGATTTCTAGTAAGATCATTTTTCTAGTACTTAAATTAGTTCATTCTTCTTTTTTAGCTCATATTAGCTATATAGATTCTTGGACACAGTAATGGGAATTTTAATGTCATACCTTGTCCTGGCTGTTTAGCTCTTGATAAGGAATATGAGCTGGGAGGTAAGTATGGAGGACTGCACAGAAAGCCAAGCCATCATTCCAGCTGCTGCTGAAGTTCGTTATGTCAATATTCTTAAAGGAAAAAAAAAAAATGCAAACAATATTAAAATCATATTCTAATAAGTATTCGTTCAACAAACACCTTTTAAAAAAACAACACACAAAAAAAAAAGCAACAAAAAACCCCAATATTGAACAGCCAACACTGAAGTTCTGCGGTAAGAAACCAAAACACATTTCTATGGTAAATTAAAAAAAAACAAACAAAAAAAACAGAAAAAACAATCCATGATAAGAATGTCAGTTAACATTACACAGGTTAAACAGAAAGTATTTATTTTCAAATTGTGCAAATACAGTTAAAAAGCATAAAAAGATAGGCTAGAAAGGGTATTAAGAGTATGAAGTTGTTACAACTGTACAGAGCAAAATATAAAAGCAAACAAGTTATGGACATATGTCAGGGCTCTTACTAAAATCCCTGAAGTAGACCATGTGGTTTTACCTCTGTTAATACAAGACTTTACTTCTGTGCTTCAGCACTGAAGCAAAATTTCTAGTTAATATTGATAAGGAAAAAATTTTTCTCTTCTAAAACATTTCTACATGAAAACCTACGTGAACAGCAACAGAAAGAGAAATTAAATTGCTACTGCAAATAAAGATGCTCCAACAGATTTAGCAGGAACCATGGCAGGGAATCAAATCTTTGTGACTGAAACTGAAATTGAAAAATTCAGCCTTGCACTCCTGATTCTTTGGTGACACTCAGTGACACTGGTAAATGCCACTTCTAAGAACACATGCAAGGTTACTGTAAAAAAAGCCAGCCCTGTCCATACAAATGAGGAGCAAGCTGCCTCGTTGGCCCTTCAGGACATTGCTTACTTGGCTGTTGGCAGCCCAGCAGTGGTGGAGCAGGTAGGTGGGCAGCAGTCAGCTTAAACTTTAAGCACCAAGTCACCCTTTCACCTGACAAGAAGTTACAGACATCACTTATCTCTGACAAGCACTGAAACTTCTCATCCGTCTTGCACAAAAATGAACATGGAACCAATGTTAAGCTGCAGAACACTCACAACTAAGGCAGCTGAATTTCTTGTCAAAATGATGATGTGGATACAAATGGAAGACGACCGTGATCCCCTCTCCAACAGAAGGGGAAAAAAAAAAAAAACAACAAAATTAAAAGCAATTTCTAGAAGAACGTGAGGGAAATCTCCATTTCCTGCTCAGCTTTCACGCTTCTTACACAAAGTCTGCACGATGCAGGTTGGGGCTGTGGTGATGTAAGAGTACGTGCTGGGACACACAATGCCAGGGCAGCGGTCTGAGCCCGGCCGGCTGCCTGCCCTCAGAGGAAATGTCATTGTTGGAGACCCCCAGGCTGTGGGAACGTGGTCCTCACTGCTTCCTCGAGCCGCAGGGGTGGGAAAAAATAAAAAATAAAAATAAAAAAGAAAGAAAATAGCTCTCCCTCCTTTCTCCTCGAGGGACAGGAAATTGGATTTAAATTAATGTGTGTTTAAAACTTTTTTCAATGTTACTTGAATTAGGCAAATAAATGCAAGATGCAGTACAAGACTAAGGGAAAATATCAGCAAGGAGGGATGCTGAAGCATTGCTGAGTCTGATTAACAGCCTCCAACACATCAGTTGGTCCAGTGGCTTCCTGGTGGATACCATTTCAACAATACCTGCTAATAATGACAGAATACAGGTTTTAAACCACTGCCTGCAAAACCTTGCTTACAATTTCTGCTTTTTTGTTGTTGTTGTTTTGCTGTTGTTGTGACTTCTGTGCTTTTGTTATAATTATTTTTGGGGGGGTTTTAAGACTGATGGGCTAAACAATTGATAAATACTAGCCACAGCCCATCAACTGATGCTGTACCTTATGCAGTACAGGAAAGGAGAACTGCAATGAGGATTCTGAAGGAAACTGAGGCTTTGTGGCTGGTTACAGGGAGAAATGCTCCACACATATCATAGACACAGCAGCGTTTATGTGAAAATGTTAGAGCTGGAACACCAGCATCACTAAAGATGCATGTCACTGAAGACCCACAGAACTGGGCTGAAGACAGAACACATGATTAAAAACACCCAAAAAACGATGAGGAGGTGTGCTCAGCTCCAACTAGAACACATTTATTAAAAACAAAACAAACAAACAAACAAACAAAATTAAGTTTACTCCCTCACCCGCAAAGGTGAGCAAGGAAAACAGGACCAAGTTGTGCTGACAATGGTAAAAGAAACTAAAACAGGAGAAACTTCTGCAGAGATGATAGCTGTGTAAAATTGAAATATCACTTCAAATATTAATAACATCTATGGAATGTTATATTTGGAATATAAACACTGGAAAAATGAGGCCATTAAAAAAAGTTCACCAACAAGCTTGGATGGTACTCAAGAACTTGGAATTCCCTGATTTCCTACATCATCCTGTAGGGTCCAGCAAATTATTACTGAGATAACAAGCAGAAAACAAATCCATCATCCAAGAATCTTAATGAACCCAGAGAAGCTGCATTAAATACAACGGAAGGAAACAATTAAAAGGGACTGGTCTCTGTTTCCAATTCCTCCAAGCATTATGAATGGTTATTAACTCTCAGATTGAAGAACTGTAATATTGGTCAGGCACCAATCTAAAAACTGGACAGACTTATTTAAACTGGAAAATTTAATCTTTTACACAGGGCTTTGAGAACATAACTGGCACTTTTAAATATGGTATAATTTTATTTCCCAAATGCTTTTAACTACTTGTGTTTTTCCAAAAAGCTCGGTGGGTATAATGAAATCAATCTTGCATTAAGCTCTTATTTCTCAAAGAACTGACAGTAAACAGAACATCGACCTAACATCTCTGACATAATTTCTCCTTTGTTACTGCTTTTATTAAGTAATTGGCTCTATTAAGATAATTCTACTGGAATCTAGTCCGGAATTTTTCTCAAGCCATTTCAGACCACAAAGTATTAAAGCAATTGGAGGGCATGCTTTCAGATAAATGAGGAATGAGCCTTTCTAGAGAGAGGTGAAGTAGGAGAAGTTTCATCAGTCCTTGCCCAACAACGTTTAATACTCAGCACAGGAGTGAAATCACTTCCAGTATTACAGATTTTCTGCAAAAAGCATTTCTAACAGTTAAATGACAAGCCTGAGTCATAAGGTTATGGAAAGCACTTGCCAATCAGGAATGAAAAACAGAGTTACAAATTTTTAGAGACAAAGTATAAGCAAGAATATAACATTTCAAATAATCAAACAGACCAAGTTCTATAGCCTGCCCTACAGCTGAGGCAAGCAGTGGAACAAACAATGGTAAAGAAACACCCACAGCAAAACACATTTCAAGCATGACTCAAGCTCCTGTCAGAATGCAAAGAGTAGCAACAGTCACCTCAAAATGAGTATCCTCTTGTGTGCACATAAGAAAAATGAGTAAGAAAATTCTTCCTGAAACTCCGATTCTACTTGTCTCCCCATCACATCGCATTCTGCAGCTAAGGAACTATGGAGATCATGGTTCCTAACCTACAGTCACAAACTAAGGACAAAATCTCCCTCATTCTCTCTTCAGCGGATATATCCACATCTGTCTTCCATCTCCTCAAACTCTGAATACTCCAATCTGAGCAGAAGAGCATCCTGCACAGCAGCTATTGCTGCAGCCCTCCCCTGCACAGGGAAGCGAGGTTCCCACATCTTCACTCAACTTGGCTCACAAATGAGTTAGGACATAAGCAAAATAAAACCATGTGTCTGTGTCTCTGTTATGTTAGTTAATGAAATAAGTGGTCTGAGAAAGCATAATATGATTCTGTAGCATAATATATGAAATCATTAAAAGAAGATTTGAGGTTTAACTTTACAGACCTTGGCAGGCTTTTTGCCATGGCATAAAATTACTACTAAAAAGCTTTTAAAAGCTTTTAAAGACGCACAGAAGAGAGCATCCATTAAAAAATTAGAAAGGTAAACTACTAAATAAGTGTTCCTGTTATGCTTTCGGAAGGTTTTCTACAGTGTATTTTCCCTAGCCTTTCTGTGGTATTAAGCAACATCAGCATTCCTTCAGTAGGGACAATGCCTGGTAATGCCTCCTGTGTACAAAGCTGTGACAGTAGCACCTGAGCTGTGTTCACTCCTCGACTTTTGTCCATCTCTCTTGGATAGGTCTGGCTCTCCCAGTGAGGACAGCAGTGTCTGCTCCCAGCCACACCATACCAAAGCTCTCCTTGGAAAAAAGTCTTTTTGACTGCACGTGTCAATGGGAAGCAACAGCTCCCCAGAGACAAGGAGACTCACTTCTTCCTACAGAAGGCTCACCCACATTTAGAACTGGGGTTAGGCAGAAGAGGCTCTCATACTAGGAACAGCTGGGTCCATACCCACCAGACAGCTTCTTTTTGAGCAGGCAGCTCAGCTCATGTTGGTGGAAAGGGAACTGCTGTAGCTCAGCCTCACCTACAACACAGTCCTTTCTGTTTTCCAGCTGTACCTTTTGCAGGCAGTAAAGCAAAGTACATCACCTCCTATCTGGATCCGAGTATTTAAAGACTTTCCCCCTTCCCTTCTTACACAGTGTTACCAAGCCAGTAACTGTTTCTAATACCAGACTCAGCTTGTCACTAGGCTCGAGATTCCAGACACCACAAGCCAAAGTGTAAATCCTGAGGAAAAGGCTGTGATGTCCAAGCTGGTGGTAACTCCAAATTCCTGCTGAACCAGCTACCATGTCAGACAAACATTACTTTCTTGCAATCAGCAAAAACTGCCATCTGCTCCCCACTGAATCAGTCTGCACTGATTCCCAAATCACGCATTAAGGCTGAGGCTGGGAGGATTTCAGGCAGTAGGTGACAATGTCCAAGTACTTCTGGAACTGTCCCAGCCATGGCCTCCTCATTCCCAGCTCTTGGAAGGCAGTAAATAGGAAATATAAACCATCAAGAGCCTGAAATATCGGCCATAAAAGTTTCTTTTTAGACCAAAGATATGTTATTTTATAATTCTGGCACAAAGAAAGACCATAAAAGGAGCAGTCATCCTCAAAA